ATAAATTCTTTAAATGTGAGCATTTCGACCAATTTTCTTTGGGGCAATTTTATTCGGGGCAGTTATTAATTGAATGATAAAAAAATCCAGTTAAGTCAATCGCTAGAGCAACATACATCTGTCTTCGTGTTAAAGTTTAATAGTGAGAGCAATGTTCTACCTTTATTGTATTTTACTTCATGTATAAATAATGTATTCATTAGTAGGGTAAGTAGGGTAACGAAATACTAATTTGTTCAACGTGTGGCTACCTTTGCATTCGTATATCTTGCATTTTTGCACACTTATGATGTGATTTATGAAAATATTGCAATTCCGTTATATCTGTGTATGTAGGATTGGGATGAATATCTGTGAACACATGTTTAAAGTTATATTTCATGTTCGAACAGGTGCCGTTACAACTGTTGCTTATACGTTATTGCTTTTTATTGTTCTTTTTTATTGATGCATCACATTGCAGCGCATAAGTTTAACTACAATAATTATATTTTTGCTGTGTAAACTTGTCTCGTGAAACATGAAGATGTGTGAACATTTAAACAAACATGTAAGTTCGCCAGAAAATCATCCTAACGTATTGATTCGAAAATACATGCATATGTATGTTTAGTGAACTTTCGTTGCCATTTAATTTGAATAAATGGCGTTCGCATCACAAAATGTTTTGCAGAAGTTTTAAGTAGCACGCTTCTAAGACATAATAAAAAAACTATAATTGTACTTATATTTCCAAATTCCCTATTCAAAAACATAATATAGCTGGAAAAAAATCGAAGTGACACTTCAAAATGTTCATCTCGGAAACAGACATTTCGCTTTGCCGCAATCGTGTTACACGTTATTTTATTATACAACGGAATTTTTTCATCCGGGTTTTATTTTAGTACCACATCACCACGTGATTGAACAGGACAATATCAACAGCTGTGATACGGAACGCACGGATTCCGTGATTGTATCAAACAAAGAGGGAAACGAATAAACTGCTTTGGTTTTTATATTTGTATTTATTTAAATTATATTTGAATTATTATATCATATATATGATGACCATTATTCGATTTAAACTTAAGCTTGAAAAATGAAAAGGGCCTACTTATTTACGGGCATTGATGACCCCTGCCGCACCGGATCCCCGGATTTCTCCGAACCTTCGTGTGGGGACAAGTGACCATGTTGAATAAATTAACTCTCCTACTTATATCCAAGTAGAATCACAATTCATTTACGATCTTGAATCAAGATAATAATAATCCAGTAATAATGGATTTATACATTAAACCTTACTTGACCAGTATTTACCGTTTACTTATTTTGTTTCATTTTTTCTCTTCATTTTACCATGTTGACGGCAGTGCTTTGAAAGGCCGATATGACATGAGAGATATTACACAGTAGTGGTTATCATCAAGGTTTTTACTTTTGGTCCATACAAAACCCTGCTCGACTACCAAAAGGAAGAGAACTTGTTTCATTACATACAACTAATGTACGTATTTAACTTATGCCCTAATTATTATAAATCTGGTATTTTAAAACAACCTGATACTCATAATACAAGTTTAAATGTTTTGCTATCCCAAGTAGTAGAAAATATTTATATTTGTTTTATGACAGAAAAATGAATTAATATTTTGAGTTCATTTGGATCATTAGAGTCAAATGGAATAAATCATTAATTCCTTTTTATTTCATATTACCAAGTATGAAGTTCGAATAATATATAAAGATAATAACATTTATGATTATATATCTATTTCATCTTGAATGTCTGGAAATTTCAAATTTGTCAAAAATTATTCATGCTGATATTCTAGCAATTTGATATGTTATCACGTGGAATCAATAAATACTCAGTCACGTTGCGAAGACTAGGTTCAACAAGGTTATGTAGATATCGGAGCACGTGCACTTATAGACGTATTTTACTCCATTTGATACGTTCGAATCATAGTCTAAAGTGATTTTCCCACCAGGTTATGACACAACTGACAAGCAGTCATATCAAACTTATAAAAAGCTGTGCACGTATTAATAAGAAAATTATCGTTATCCATTTCAAGTGCTGTGGAAAAAAGCGGACGAAATCTAGAACAGCATGTTTTTTTTTCACAATTTTTGTAACAAATTCGTACAAAGTTGCATGTCTTTAAATCTGATTACTTATTTATGTTATTTAATCATTCTGAGTCAAACCGTGAAAATATGTGAAAAAACAAGGTTTGCGTAAATTTAAATTTCATTAAATAAATTTTATCTAGATTTTAAATATTCTAAACATTCAAAGCTCAGTGTTTTATTAATATACTAGCTTATATAGAATCTGTTAAATCATTTGAGAATACAAACTTCAGAAATTATTACTAATCCTTAATTGTATTTGTACTTTTTTAATTGTTTTGCATGGTTATATTGTATGTTTTTTTTCTCACCCCCAGGCGTCCTCGTTACGTCAGTAATAAATACCGTGAAAAATGGTGTGAAAGGTATATTTATCCGTAAATTTTGCTTAAAATCAAGATAAACTGTTCTGTTACTATTTCGATGCGGGATTGTAAAATTAGATATAAAGATAATGGTGCCTCAATGGGAGGTTTAGTTTCTATTTATATGAATGCAATAACATATTCTTTTGCGATTACAACATTTTAGCTTTTATTTCAAATAAAAATTAAGTAGTAACACAAGTAGTTAACTTGTTGACTAGATCACTGTTCAGAATTATAATCATTGTTTTATATCATTCTTGTCGCTTAACCACTTTACTTTATACAACTTTTAGATTGAAAACTCTTTGAATAATTTAAATACCACATAAAGTTGTCCCTTATTGAAAATCGTCATGATTTATAATAGAGAAAAATTAAGTCGCCAGAAAAACATCTGTAGCAAGCTTACATTCATCTATCAATTAGCATAAAACTGAAGAATTACAGTTGATATAAATGAGAATATGATGTTAAAAATAATGTAACTGAATAGAATAATTGAAAGTTAAGATTTAATTTGAAAGGCTTCGGGGCAATTAAATTGATATCACCATTGGATTTTACAAATTAAATTCTAATTTAATGTTTCTGTTATTATACAGAACATAATATATAAGAACAGAGTCTTTGTTCTCAGGAAAAAGAAAACAAACAACAGCTTTTAGTGTGCCATAAGGGAAAGATTTGCATAATGTTTATTTTAACAATTATCAAGTTACATAACACATATAAAAACGTTAACATGAACGCTGTTATTCCAATGCAAACAGTTTTGTTGCACACCAGATTCAATGATGTTATGTATAATTTATTAATAATACGGATGTATGTACGATATGCTGGTTTGCACTTTATTTCATAATTTATAGGTTTTTAATGACATTTATCACAGAGGCATACAGTCGTTATTGCTTTTTGTCTATTGTTGCCGATTGTTAATATATTTGATATATACGACATGCAAGATTAATTATGAAAATTTATGTAAATATAGATGAAAGATACACTGCTGCAATTGACGACGGTGTATGCATTTGACTATCCTGATAATATCTTTAATTGTCTAGTGTGATTTATTTTAAGGAACGAGCTAAATTTGGTGCAAACTTTTTTTCTAAATTTTACTTTGAATACAACCTTAAATAAAACAAAGAAAAACGATTTTGCTGATTGTCGAAACTAACAACAAATAACACTTATTCATTGGTTATTGGGAGGAATATAAAAATTTCATTTGATATATTTTGCTTTACTTGCAAACTTTTGTCATTTTCTCTCTGTAAGACAATTTACAGTAATAATTGATTACTCTTATCAAATCAACATATCCATTGAAATACCTTTGAATTATGCAGACTTGATTAAAACGTACTTATCTAATATTTAACTTAAAAAGGCATTTTTTTGCTGGTTTTCACTTTTCGACATGCTAATGAAGAAAATGTAAATATAGATTTGTCTTATTTGAAAATGATAAATCACGTTTTTTTCGTAATTGTATGACATAATGTGTTTTGATTTAAGAATCGTTACCTGTCCGGGTACAAATATTCAATGTCCATGTAACGAAAAGTGAACGGTTGAAATTTGTGATTCAGTAAAATCCTGACTACATAAATTACCTTTCATTTTGTTAACTACAACTGCAACTTAAATTTTATCTGCGTTTTGGTCGCATCTCAGCGGTCGGTATACCCAAACATCTTTCCTGTAAAATAACAAAAATATCAATTACTCCTCAAGGGACAGATTTTTTATTGCTCTTGATTTCTGAATCAGCGATAAGAGAGACTCAATGTCCGAAATCAGTTGGCATGGACCGAACCTGTGGTCCCTTGATTGCAAATCCGATATCGTTTCTGAGCTTAACGGGCGGACTGTAAAAGACGTAATAATGATGAAAAAGAAATGAATAATGTATACAAAAATGAATATTTCAAAACACCTCGTTGTTTAAAAATCGTCTAAAATCGTGAAGAAAATAAGTAGTAGTGTTCATAAAATTGTCTGATTCCCTGAAAGTTCTTTAAAAATGCCAAATCTACTCTCTGTATATTGTGTATAGCTCAACAGTATTAGCATTCAAACTTCATATTTTAACATGAAACTATTCAATCTGTAATTTAAATTTGAATGTTTTGGGCTGGCTCGGATGCCAATTAATTTAACAAATATATTTAGTTTTTAATTTCATTTGGCAACTGGTAAGTATTATGAAAACAAATACCTTTTTGTCTTTGGTGCATGCATTTTGATGACCAGGACACAAATACCAAATTTACATATGACGTTACCTTTATGCATCATTTAATGACATTTAACTTCATGTTCTAAATTGTATTTTTATCAAATATATTATGAATGATATCATTTCCTTTGATGATATTGTTTTAATGTAAAGAATACCCTTATCAAGAGATTATAACCACGGGAGTGGCATTTATGTGTCGCTCGATTGGAAGTTATTGAATGTAAATTACGCAGTTATTTAGGTATTTTACTTCATTTACTTTACACTTTGGTCAAATGCGTCACCCACGTTTTGCCATATCATGGTTATTACTATGCTTTAGGGATCGATCTAGGCATGCTCAATTAGAAATAAAAATCTTTGTACTTGATACTGTGTGTGGCGTGAACAAGCATAATATTAAATACATTTAAGATCAGTGGAGCAAATACTCATTTTTACATATTTTATCATCGCTATCTGGTGGCGATGTTAAAGCAGTTATTAGGTTATCTGTGATAGATACACGCTTCATTTTGTTGTCCTAAAGAAAAAACATGGAATAAAAAGATTCAGTGAAAAGGATTTATATAAAGAATATCAGCCCGATTATATTCCGAACTACTTTTTTCGTTTTAATTCTAACAACATCTCGTTTATAATACAATTTTAATAACATCGCTATATAATACTCCAGCGTATTTTTCTACATCCATTTCATAGCTATACATATTGCATACATGTATGCAGATAGTGCATCATTTTCTCTGGATTAACTTTTTATAATGAAAGTCGAATACTGTAAATGTTCAATGGCTGTTAGCACTCAGGGAATGAGTTCAAGTAAAAGAAAAAATATCATTCGAACAATAGTGGATGTTTTAATTTGGCTTGCAGGTATATATTCTTTTTTTATTTCTTTAATAACATTTTTTATACTTTTTGACTTGTCTATTTAGTAGCTTATGTAGTCAAATTAGTTTAATATTCGGGTTTTATATATCTTTTGAATTTCAAGTAAAACATTTTTTCTTTGAACTTAAATGATTTTCGATTCAAATATTAATTATTTTATACCCAAAAGATGATGTTTCTTTACATGAAAAAGACAATGTTTAAAAATTTGATAAACATTTTTCACTTGTTTGTACAAGAATGTGCAATATAAACTCTAACACACAGATGCTAAGGTTTTGAAATAATGATGTTATTATATTATCATGAATTTACATGATTAGTATAATGATTATCATTATTTTTAACTTATTTAATTTTTTTTTATATTATTTTTATTATTATACTTATTATTATTATACTTATTATTATTATTATTATTTAATTACTATTATTATTATAATTGTTTAATTTTAATAATAATAATTATAATTATAATTATGATAATAATCATTAGTGTTGTTGTTGTTGTTGTTGTTGTTGTTGTTGTTGTTGTTGTTGTTGTAATAACATATATAATAACTTAATATAATTATTGTTATATAATAAGAAGAAGTTATTATTATTATTATTATTATTATTATTATTTTTTTTTTTTTTTTCAGTTTATGATATTTCAAACATGAAAAACAATCAGTCCATTTTACTTTCACGTATGTTTGATCATTTAATTGAAAATTTATGTGATGTAAAAAAAGTAACTATCGGGTTAAACAAGATAGATTAAGCAAATATAAATGAAACCGAATATTCGTAATCTTATTTCCTCGGCATACCAAACCACTGACACCTTACGAAACATTAGTTTAACAGTTCATTGTAAAATTTGTTTACGATGAGTAAGCAACGTATACAGTTACAACTATTATTTGTCCCGCCTATTTACCTTAGGTGTCAAATGTTTTTATAATCAGTTTAATAAACATGAAAATTCAATTAAAATTGTATCATGACTGTATAATAATTTTCGTAATCTCTGAACGCTGTTTCGGAAAGACTGTACATGTACAACTTTTAATTAATGTTTCTAATTGAGATGCATTTTAAAAGGCGTTTATACTTATAATACACATTTTTGTTTGATAAATAAGCTATAAGGCGCGTTTAAAGGATTGTAGTTGCAGCGTTTAATGATATGATACTCAATGCATGACCTTTTAATATAATAATATCGACATATACTTGAATCAGCCATGCATCGTTCTCATTCATTTTAAACCAAAACAGTTTCGGTAAAGCTAAATATTTATAAGATATTCAGTTTAATCAATAATTAATACATTTTAAGTATACGAACATATTGTCACCTTAGTGCAGTAACTGGATAACTCCTATTAAATTTGATAGAAGTTAACTATTTACTGCATTAAGGTGACGCTATTATCAGCCAAATACGTGTATGTAGTTTATAACGGATCTTATACACATACCATATGAGTTGAAAATAAGCAATTTGAATGTTACGTTATTCATTTTTTAAATAGGCTAATATATGTCTTAGATAATGTATTGTGAATTTACAAAATATCTTCTTTTTCTCCAAAAACACAAAATTAAAATTAATGTGAACAAATTTAAAAACAAGAAAAATTAATAGTTCATATGTAATTGAGCGTATTATAAACCTGCGTTCAAAATCTATGTCTAATTCATAAATAAATATAAATAAAAACTCTCATTTTCAGCGTCTTTTGTGGCGTTCTACCTCTTTACATTTGGCAAGCCTTACAAGAATGGTTTCTTTTGTGACGACAAGTCTATAAGTTACCCATCATTACAAGAGTCTATCTCGACACCTGTCTTAGTAGCAATCGGATTTACAGTTTCTATTTTGGTAGTAAGTATAATTTTTGCAAAATTAGAAACTATACATACATGTAATATAACATTTCTTACATTAAACATGCATGTAAACATTGTATTCAAGACGCAGACATGATTTTTTTTCTCAATTTAAAGCGACATGAAAACATTATATACTTATTGAGACTGTGAAAGGGTTGAACATATTATGAACAATTCTCAGGACGTTTGAGATAACTATTTGGAGTAAAAAAAAGAACATATATTTTCTAATTCTAATAGTAAACAAGGTAAAAATACCACATACAAAACTATGATCTAATATTTACGCTGAACATAATGCAGCAAAGGAATTGGAGCATGTTGTAATCAAAACGATTAATTTCTGTTACAATATATTAGTAATTTTACGCAGTTTCTTTGTTTCGAAGGTCGTATGGCGTCGAAACAGTTTTTTTAATGATTCATATTTTTATTATAGCATTTTTAATACTAGTAATGTCTTTTTTCCAGGTTGTGTTTGTTGAAATTTTAAACCGGTTGGAAAAAACTTCCAAACCGCAATGTCAATTAAGACAAGTCTTCGAACGCTGTGTGAAGAACTACCTAGTTTTCTTAATTGGTTTCCTGATACAAGAACTATTTGTAGACGGAATAAAAAACAAGATGGGTATATTAAGACCTAACTTCTTTGATGTTTGCAAACCACAATACAACACATCTTTATGTCCAGGGTAATTTTCAGTATATACCTTCTAATATCATATACCTTCTAATATTATATTATTTGATATCCTTTTATCACATCAAGAATTTTGCACACTCTTATTTATATACTTGAGTAATAAATGGATGAAGACAAGGGTATTATCAAAACAAACATAAGTGGCATATTATCTTATAAAAACAAACAAGGAGAAATATTTTTAAAATGACCAAACGAAATTGAAAATGATGCATATTCGGTTTGATTGAGCCTGTTCATGGATTACAGTTGTAAAATCAATTTAGTCAGTAACGATTCTGATAATCAATCGTTTAGTATGCTAATATTTAACATTTTAACAAACATAGATTTTTCTATAAGTATTTCTTTTTAAATATAGGTATATATCAGAGTACAGGTGTACCGGAAATGACGAAAAGCAAATAAGGAGCAGCCGACAATCGTTTCCTTCAGGACACTCGTCCTTTTCTATGTATATTGCTGTTTATTTTTGTGTAAGTATATAACGATAATTAATATATCAATTATAAATAAGGCCAATATACATCATATGAGGCGGGGATCAGTAAGCGGTGTATCGTCCACCAATACAAAAGTTTACGTACGTGCCCTTAACGAGAAAACAATTACCGATTCTGAAATGTACATCTGAGTATCGAAAACCTTTTTTATTTCATGGTTTGTTTTTCATACGTATTTACATTACATATAAGCAGCTCATTGATGAATTATGGTAACACAGTTTGTATTTCTTTTCAGATATACATTGAAAAACGTTTACAAATACGTTTTTCAAAATTGTTGAAATTATTTCTCCAAACTGGCCTAATATTTGCTGCGATTTTGTGTGGACTCGGGCGAATAATAGATAACAAACATCATCCATCTGACGTATTAGCTGGTTTTATACTAGGTTCCATCGTGGCTATTGTTGTTGTAAGTAATGTTCTTAATCTCAGTTTTAATAGTAAAGCATTGGATCAGGTAAATATCACGAACCCCTTAGTTTAGTAATAGGACTTTTTACATAAGTTGTATTAAATTTATTCAACTGGAAATAGTTTAGTGTTAGCTGCTTAGTGTCTATATATTTTTCTTTGAAGATAAATGAACTTGAAATCTGCAGTGATAAACTATTTTCAATATATTTAACAATAATCAATTATTTAGGTATGTAATCAAAGTATCTTTTCTTTTTGTAGCACTACATACTTTGGTCAAATTGTGTGCAAACTGCAGAGAAAACTGCAAATGAAAAACGGGATTATCTGCAATCTGAAAGTGAAACATCTGACTATTGTGTTTCCTGTGAAAGGCCATTAGACAATGATTTAGAAAAACCGTCGCCAATTTTAGAAACAGACTTTTACCAGGGTAGAGATATCGAAAGAAATGTGTCATCAAAACAACTTATAGAAATTCAAAACAATAATCACCAAACTGTATCATTATCGTAAGAAATTGTGTAACTGTGACAACTAAGATAATGCATTTTAAATAAATGTATTTTAAGGTTCCAATACTATAATCTTTAATTAGATACATGCTCACATGTTACACTTCGCGCTCGAACTCGGTATGCTCGAACTCATCGTACCTCTTTTATCAACAGTGTGAAATTGTCCGCTTAAATGTGAACAAATAAAGAATCAAAACTGTAAATGGGATATAACAATTTAAAACCCGGGATTCAATATTATGTTTGTGAACATATCAAACAAATTAGTTCAAGATGGCCACCAAGATGACCTATGGGTGTGCTAAGCTTGTACCAAACATAATACGCATATTGATTGAAACATAAAACATTGTGACTAAATAATGTTTAAAAATACAACTTGAGCCTATGTGTGTCGTTTAGTACTACTATAAGTATTTATATTTTTTACACATCTTGTAAAGGTTAAAAGTTCAAGGCACAAATTTGGAGTGATAGTTATCAAACTTAAGCATCCATGCCATAATGTCTGGGAAAGCTTATTAATTGTTCAGATACATTGTTGATAACACAAAGATGTAAAGATGTAAATAATATGTCTTAATTGGTCAAACCAAACAGTTTACGATACTACTGATAAAAATATTAACAGGCAGTTAGTTTTATACGAGAAGTAAAGCGACTGATTAAACAAGTAATATAATATTAAACATCGATTCTACAAACTATTTTCAAACAGTTTGGCACGGTATATTTCTGTTTTAGTAAATGAGTTTTCAATAGCATGTAACAAAACTAAATAACGATATAAAAATTATATATCACATACGTATTACCTTAACAAGGCACATAAAAATATCGTGATAAACAATACAGATTGGAATTCTTATGTAATGTTACAAATTTATTGAAGTTACTCTTAATAAATAATAGAAGCATTGTTTAATCGAGTTGTTTATAATTTCAAATGCATTCTCCATTACTTTAATCACAGGATTATGTGCATGCACTGATGTTCGAGTTTTACAGTATTAAGAATTTGAAGAAAAAAAAGAAATAGAACACAGATCAACAATGTAAGGAGACATTCACAGAACATAACCCCAAAATTACCTAGTCACACCGCCAAGGCACTTTAAAGGTACCAAACCTAACTTGGGAAAAGGGCAAAACGGTCCTAAAAGGAGGGAAATGGTGAAATAATAGATCTAGAGATGCAACGATTACCTATCAATGGTGGTAATTGAATTATAACCATTTCATATTGGAACTTAATTATACAATCCATCGCTTTTTTTATTTTACATTGTGACATATACTTAGATATTTATGTGTTAAAATGTTATAATACAGTGATATTGTAAATAAAATAATAAACATGGCTGGTCAAGATTGAATAGCCCTAAGTACAAAATTTGTACAGAGTTGAAAAGGTTGGTAGAACATTTTGTTAAAAATAACTTAAACATATAAGGAATAAATAGAATTTCAGTCACAATATAAGCTTGTATTTTTGAATGACTTTTCCACTGTATTCTGTGTAAATTATCATCTGATGTTGTTTATATATATACTGTAATAACTGCTCCACATAATGTAATATAACCAAGTATGTAGACAAACGATAAAAAACCCATACATTTCCGTAATCCAAAACATGAACTACGCATAAGAAAACCAACGGTTTTAAATCTATTGACTATAACACCTTCGAAAAGTGTTAAAACGAAGGGTTCAGAGTGCTCTTAAACTGACTGATGAAATTCAAATCACAAATCGATGTACAAAGAGAGTCACCTTTAATACACACTGTACTTCTTTCGAATATTTCGCTTTTTGGGTTTCAGGAAGTAACTAAATATCGAACATGCACTGGCTAATAAAATGATAAAAATACAACGTTGCATATTTTATTTCAAATTGTAATCAACAGAATTTTTTATCAAAAATAAGATGATTCTTACCAAAATAAGTTGGATAATAAAGTAACCTAAATAAAATATGTAATCTAAATAAGAATGACTGAAATGTATAGCAAATACTCTTAATTAGAATTCTGCATTCTGTATAAATGTTCGTCTGATTTTCCAACGTAAATTCACTACTGAATTTATTGAACGAGTTGTATAAAATATTTCATGCGAGCCTTTGTAGTTAAAAAAAGTGCATTCTCTCAATCCATAACATAAGCCATGTTCAAGGGAACTAACCATTCGTGATGGTTCTTCGATCATATATACATTTACCTATAAAGTTATCGGTTTTACAATCTTAACTTAAAACTTAAAAAAATATCTCATAACGCACTCATAAACATGATATATCAGCTTTAAATTTGTATCTTTTAATTACAAATATTTCTGTTCTGAATGTAAAAGGCACACACTATCAAATAATTGTGCTCAAAACTTAATCATAAACAGAATCAGCACACTTTTTTAAGTTAATTAGATGTTGTACATGTACATGGAGCATTAAAACAGTACATCAAAAACAAAATATATATTTAAACCATTCGCCATAAGAAAATTTATGTAAAAAGTCGCCCCGTACATATAATCAAATGTGTTATATTTTTTTATCCTTAAAGATCGTTTGTCACGACATAATTGTCGTGTATACATGTTTGTGGTATATTTAGTTTCTTCTATCCGATCTTTTTTAATATTGGTGGTTCAAGTATTTCTACTAAAATAGTGTATAATTGACCCTAGAATATGGTACCTGCTTTTAAAATTTGTCTTTTGACATCTTGTGTGTGATATGCCCTTTTAAAAATTATGTTTTGTTTAGTTCGTTCCAATGTTATGTCGAATAGGGCACGCCTTTTACTTGGGAACCATACGCCGCTTTCATGGAAAGGCATTATTAAAGTGTCACATTGAAGGCCGTATATACACATCTGCGGATGTCTCTTAATTCCAAATTCCCCATTTTTCGAGTTTAAATCTTTCGTCGTTTTGGGCGTTCTGTAGGGACTCCGTTGTTCTCTTTTTATTCTTTTTTCCTTTTTAACACTATCATTTTGCATTAATAACTTTCAACAATCTATTAGTTTCTTTCAATTAACCCTTTCCAATAGGTTCAGTTACCGTGTGATAAATCAAAGATCAATGTTAAGTACGTGTGTATCCCCGCGAGTTATGTGTTTGGCTTGAAACCTTAGCTCTGTACCTCCAAATATGAACATTTCTTCCACGGCATTGTCATCAGCCTTTAATGTACAATCCATCGGAACTACAATTTCTCCAATTACTTCACAGCCTTTATCTGTTGTAAAAAGCGGGTCATTCTGGGTTGACTTGACAACGTTCAATACCAGTTTGCGTTGAAAATCATCCACTGCTTTTCCAATTCTTGACACTACATATCCATCCTCTACTTGTTGCCCGATTTCAACTGCTTTCCAAAATGTATTCAGGCAAAATTTTCCAATGTTGGAATCGACCATTTTTTCTTTTGGGTGCTTTGTATGATCAAATGGAACAGCAATATCAAGACCGTAAGAATAACGTGCAATCCTTGCGGTTACTATTGACGGATTATGGCCGAAAAGAACAGCTCCTTTCAAAACAGCGAGTCCGCAATCCGGAGGTATGATGATTTGCTTGTCTGCAAAATTTGCTTTGAATCTATCTTGTACGTAAATGCTTTCAGCGAAACCACCTACAAGTATTATTCTGCTTACATTTCTAAGTTTCTTCTTCGATAGAACTTCCCTTACGGTGGAAACTATTTTGTTTATCGGTGTTTCAAAACATTTCTCCAAAACGGAGGCTTCAATCCTTAATTTGTCCTTCTTCCATGTAATGTGTTTATCAAATTTCTTTTCAATTTCTGCAGTTGTTTTCTTGTCATTTTCCTCGTAGTATTCTTTCAGACTTGACGGTACTTTTAGAGTTACCTGATCAGAAGAATTTAAATGACAATTTCTCTTTTTGGCTTCGAAATCTCTGTATATGTGAAGTAAATCTTCTAAATCGTTTTGTTCAAACCTCTCCCATTCGACCGAGCCAAAGATTCGTTTCAACAATTTAGTGAAGTTTTTATCAACTTCAGTCCCACCCCATGGTCCACCTATTGGTTTATGAATCTCTAACAGGGTATTATTCGGTCTCCTTTCATGTACTGTAATATCAGCTGTTCCACCTAAGATATCAAACGCATTCTTTTTATAAGATATCATTAGTTCCATATAAAATACTGCAAGGAAACACAACAGGTAACCACTTCACTGCCAGCGCATTGTGTATTTAAAATGGGATTAAAGTTATTTAGTTGCCGGCACAAAACAACACAATGTATTTAAAAAGTTCCATATTTAAAAAGTGTAAATTCAAATAAAAACATACAAAAAACTTTAAAACAGATCATAATAGAAAGTGAAAATGTAAATATCGCTTTGGATGTTCAAACAGTATAAAAACAAGTAAAACATACAAGGAGCACACAATGAATTGTTAAAACAAACAAAAATAATATAATAAATATTGTTATTGAGCTGATTAAAAACAGTTATACAGACCCAAAATGCTACTGAATTTACAAACCAAAGCATAAAGTAGGTATTGAATTATTGTAAAAATAAAAAAAAAGTTATATTTAATACATGGTTAGTAAAACGAGCAAACTACTTATTTTGACGATTCCTAAAATTTTGATTTATTATATTTTGAACTGTATATTAGAATTACCTCCTAAATCAACAACCATGTACCGGGTACCAATTGCTGAAATTCCTAGAACATTCTCGTCATCGCTTCTTTGAAATTCGGTTTGTAATTCCTGACACCAAATTGATGCTGCTTCAGGCTCGAGTGCTATTATCAGTTGGTCATTTGAAATTCCAGCCTGAGAATTAAAGGGTTTACTCATTTATTCCATTTTATTTATTGTTTTCTCGTTTAGGGCACACACATTCTATTACTTGGGACCATACGCCGCTTTTCATGGAATGACACTACTGTGTCACATTAAAGATTCCATGATAACCGCCGTATGAACACATCTACGGATGCTTCTAAATTCAAAATTTCACCATTTTAGTGTTTAAATGTTGAATTCTAGGGGGCGTGGACGGTAAGTTGCAATTTCCATTACCGTTCATGAACAGGCTCAATCAAACCCTGCCTGCAACATTTAACAATTTTGCCGTGTTGGGCTTTCTTTAGGGATTCTGTTTTTCACTATTTTACTATATTCGAATTTTTTATATATTGAAATATTATCTTTAGAACATATATGCATATCATGTAGCACTTATACAACGGAAATTCAAAATCGCGTTAGTGAAAAATAATATATATAGAAGTGCTGCTAATGTTTTATTCGTTGGTTTTATCATAATGGCTGTAAAGTGCATAGTATTTAGAAACGGAAAACGAAACCTCTACTGCCTAAGCTTAGCCATTTTTGCAAAGCTGATGCATACATCCGTCACTCATGAATTTTAGTTTCGTTTGGAAGCTTATTCGTCTTATTTATTTACTTACTTACTTATTTGACACATTGTGTATTGTCCCTTTATTTAGATTTTATCAGGTCCCTGTCCAATACTTCGTTTTTTGTTTATTCCAGTTACTGTTAATCACCCCAATGAGTATAAAGTTATTGAAAATTAATGAAACCTTTAAGAAAGTATTGTATGAAATAGATAAACACGTTTACAGTTTCCTCCACTGTGGTGAATGACTGAAGTCATATAATTTATTTTCCGTTTTATAAAACCAAAACTCTAAAGATAAATACCTCAACTGCTGCATCCCGCATAAACCGTTTAGCCATGTCATCCCAAATTGCAGGAACAGTTAGAACATAGATGACATCCGTGTCCGTAATGTTGGTTACTCTCTTCCGAATGGTTGCAAAGAAGTTATCCTTAAGAAACTTTATAGCATTAGCAAATATTACAAGTGCTGGCATTTTCTTTCCTGATATATCTTCGATTGTAGTGTAACGATTCAATTTCTATAATGCAAAATACATATACTGTATGCTCATCTAATGTACTTTTCAGTGTAAAACTCAGTTATATGATGTGTTATTTTTCAAATTTGCTGTGTATGATGTGTATGTCATATTTCGAAAATGAGAGGTATTCTTTTTTGGTCATATGTTGCAGAACAAGCAAATGTAGGTGAATGGATCATTACCGCCAAAAGAAAAACAAAAACAAAAAACAATAATTTCCAAAAAAGAAACTGAAACCAAATGCAAGTGTCATACGACATAACATAAAGATATTAATACACGGCAGAGTAAGACCTGAAGGTGATAAGTGACCCTCAAAATGAATAATGACCCGAGGGCTTCAGCCCGATGGCAGTATTCATTTAAGGGCCGGATATTACCTTCTGACCCTACTCTGACGTGTATTAATTCTTTAATACACTAATGGATCCAAAAGAACTTTTTTACAAATTACTTAGATATTCCTTTCGATGAAATAAATGTCTCTTAATGTTCTTCTATAAACTACAGTGTTGCTTATGTGTACTAAATCACTCTAGAATCAATAAGCAAGTTTTACTTTCGTTTTGAAATTCTAGGAATGATTTTTTCGTATTCTTTCTTCACACAAACAGCACAAAATGGGTTGTTTTGATGACGTAATATATGACGTCATTGTTTCAGTCTGTGCACGGCCGCAAAACCGTAATCGGTCACGTTACACTCATTATCAGTTGCAATCATACGCGTTAGTTTATAAGTAACAAGTGTATTAATATTCAAAATTTAATGTCTGTAGAATTTGATTTATTTTCTCGTTTCAAACATAAAACATTTTTTATTGTGGCTGTCCTACAAAATCTACATGTATATAACACATAAAAGTTTTAAGATTATTAAAATTAACAACAGGAATCTTTTTTCAAGAGCAAAAAATACATGAGTAAAAAGATGATTAAATCGATTCACTTTAATTCATTATGTTCAGAAGAGATAAAAAAATGAAATTACACAATAAGGCATGATTATAAAATTTAAATAAAAAATACTTTAGTATTTATATTGATATTCGTTGTATTAATGCTATTTTTGACGATGCAAAAACTATGTAAAAGAAAATATATAAATGCATTATGACTGTTACAGTTTTTCATCAAAACAGTCGGAAAAAAGTGCATTTATCATACCCTTATGTAAATAGTGATAATCCACCTTAACCGTGAAGATAAAGCCAAAATTTCAATCCGTTTTACGAACTTGAAAGATAAACGTGAAATCGATATTTATAAATAGATATACAATATTACAAGGCAAAGTTGGCAGCTATATTGCAAAACATTTTTGGAAAAGACTTACGTGATTTTCATTCAAAAGCATTTTAAATCTTCGAAAGTAATACCATCCCCAATGTTCATCATCCTCAGCAAGACTTGCGAACGATGTTTCAGCTTCGTACCCAAAATGTTTGAATTCTTTTTCCGGTGTAAAGAGAATACATGATGCTGTCTTAAGGGATGCTAAAGACCCTCCATCGGCAAACCATGCTTGATTTGCGTAAATCTTTTCAGGTTCAGTTAGAGTAGAATATGCCCAGCCACTGTATGTTGTCCCTATATCGATGGCGGCCACAATCATACGCGTGCCTGTTTTAGTTGCTTGTTTAGATGCTGTTGCCATTTCTACAATTTAAAACTAGCAAAGACGTGACTCAACCGTTATTTTTTTTATTACGCAATATAAATGTGGCATTGTAAATTCATGTTTTTGTATCTTTTTTTCTTTCTTTCTTTTTTTTTAGGTAAAAAGTTGTTGAACAATTGTTCATTTCGTCGACGAACCAACCACGAAAACATGCTTATTTAACTTTGTATCCTTTAATTTAACGGATTTATTTAGAAATTTGTTTATTTAAACTGTTTCAAAATGGAAAAAAACACAATTGAGAATATGAAACTGTTTTGAGGTAGAAATCACAAGAAAATACATAATGAATAAAACGATCACATAAATTTATGGGTTTAAAATATGTCTTCATATTTCGTTTAAAGTTTATAAACTGAGATATGTATGATTATAATACAAAAAAGAATAAATTACACATTTCTGACGTCCTTACCTGTTACCATGTGACCGTATCATACATAAAGTGACATTTAAAGCAAGAATGAGTTTAACAATCCAAACATTGTAATAGGTATAAAGGTAATCTTCGCTAAACATTTTTAGCGATCGTAAGTTTCTGTTTCATTTCGGACGTATCTTATTTGTTTGAATAAAAATGTTTATCAAGTATCTCACACGATAAGGATATAAATCTTTACTTATCGAGAGTATTTTATTGATCTTAACCCATATACAAAGTGGGTGGGTATTACGAACAGAGGTCAACTGTAACTTAAATACTTTTTTGTTTTATATTATAATGAAAAGTGAGCTTGAAAAGATTAACAATATTTTGAAATGGTTAGCGATTAGACATATTGCCTTTTATAGATAATACACTGCACGTGTGTCTAAATGTTGAAACATTTCTGTTATTTTTTATGCACATAATAAGGAAGTAATTTACTGACCTGCTATTTGGTATTCGCGTTGACCTTGTGCTAGCCATTGGTTAAGAATTTGTTTGCAAGTTTGTTTCCCCTTAGCCATAAACATTCATTGTTGGACTTTAAATGTGATTGTTGCTTCACTGTTAAAGACCCATAACCTAAGCATAGATTTGGAACTAATTATATCTCTTTATTACCTTAAAGAATTTATCGGGACAAGATTTATCTCCACAACCATTGAGGTAATGCACTTGAAACTAAACACATCTTATTAGATCATTATTGTAGATTACTCCCCTCTAACATGGGGTTTTTCAAAGAATTATACTACTTTATTAACAAGAGAACTCCTTTACTATGCAGGCTGTTGATTTTGAATATTCGAGCGTGCTGTTCGACAGGCAGCTCTTGTTTAAAGGCATTGCATTAACCTATGATAACTGAATCATATCTGGAGTTTTTGCATTGTTGATGACGTATAATATATATACATTAAAATGTAAAATGTAATTTGCTAGAACATTTGAAACGTGTAGGTAATTCATTTTACAGTAAGAGACTTTCCTGCTAGACTGGATCAGAATTATGAATAAAATAGGTTATACATAGTGATTGAATTCAAAATTTTATAATGAAAGTTTCATTTAAGCTCGACTATTCGACGATTAAGGAGAATTATCCAAGTACCCTGAGCGTTGGCTTCGGCGCAACCACTTACGTTAAAGTTTGCGAAACACCTCAGATATTTTCAAAGTCCATTGACATACTGTATGGCTTGGAAACTTGCACATTTGTTAACCATCATGTCCCCATAACTCTGTCAGGCATTTTGACATAATAATGCCCCTTTTTCAACTTTGAATTGACATTAAAGTTCGCTTACCACCTCAAATATTTTCAAAATTTCTATTGACATCTGGATTTCAAACTGTGTACACTTGTTCACAATCATTCCCCCATTCTGTACACAGGAGGTGGTAACGCTATCAAGCATTTTGAAAGAATTATGCATCTTTTTTTGCTCTCGAAGGATCTTTCCTTTTTGAATTCTACAATCATATTCCGTTTTATTTAGTTGTGTGCATTGTTTTCTCGTTTAGGGCACATGCATTCTTTTACCTGGGGACCATACGCTGCTTTTCATGGAATGGCACTAATGTGTCACATTGAAGCATGATAACCGCCGTATGAACACATCTGCTCAATGTTTATAAATTCAAAATTTCACCATAACCATGATTAAATGTTGAATTCTGCTAAAGCCGGTGAAAGGTGGCGTATGTTTGACTGTACCGTCCATGAACAGGCTCAATCAAACCGAGCCTGCAACATTTTCGATTTTGACGTTTTGTGCGTTCTTTAGGGATTCTTTATTCCTCTCTATTTTATAAACTTACTTTAGGGATTCTGTGTTTCTCTATTTTATGTTCATGGGTCATAGTATTTGTATTAGCTTTTCTAAGCGTACCGCAAGCTTGGTGTTAAACCCTTTTACAGCTGCACACTACGCTTTCACCTTTTGATTGAATCTGATGGACGGAGTGGCAAATTCTATAATGGACATTTTTAAAAGTATTTCGAACTGAATTGTTTTAATATTGGTCTTCGATCTTGCTTCTTCCGCCCTTGTATGTGATTTATGTTGCTTTGCCTTCCTTAAAGGCATCGAGTACTTTTGAAATGGTCATTAGGCTGTACCTTTTGTACATATTTACATGATAATTTATGTGTTTTAATTATTTGGTATAATGTAACTATGACAATAGTTAAAATTTCACTTGGCGGGGATTTATTTTATTTACACTTTCTCGTCATATAGGAACTTGCCGGTAGTGGTAATTGCAAGTTACTAACAACACATTCTAGCACTGGCTTTTAATAGCAGATATCTCAATTTAAGATAAACTGGTACACTTTTAAAGGAAGTGAAGAAACTTCCAAAGATGTATCATGTGGAAGCGATCATTGTATCTGCAATGTAAAATGTTCGTGCAATGTCACGACATACAACGTATTGTCCCCAAGTAATAGAAAAGAATTGGCGACACTAAATAAATGTATTTATAAAACGGGATAAAATGTCAAAAGACAATCTTTAAAAGCAGGCAACATAATTATCTAAAGAGTTATTATACAGTATTCAAATAGTAATACTAGAACCACAAAACTCGAAAAAGGTAAAATACAAGGACTTTAAAAAAAACATAAACACACTAATAATGCCAACCTGAACAATTTTCATATAAACATTATGTTTTATCCGGCTACGTACTATGCAGGTTATATGGAACCGGAGGCCAACAAAATAATGATACATGTAGATTAAAATATCAAATATTTTAAATGACTATTTAATCAATTTAAACGACTTAAAAAATAAAATTAATTTCATTTGACACAGAAAACGTGTGTAATATATGGATAAATAAAAAGTTTTCTTTTTACATACTTTTCAAATCCTTAGGTGAACTTACAATCAAACCGTGTCTGCATTTCTTTTGTAATTTTGTTGTGATTAATGCTTCCGATGGATCACTTTGTTTCCAGATTTTTATACTTCACAACAGCAGGTGTCAAGTGCTGTTTGGCAGCTGTAAAAAGTTGCCCCGTACTTCACTTCAGTGTTGTTATATTTTTCTGGTCCTTCGGGATCATTGATGCCAGCACCATTAAGTGTTGAGAATTGAGTACCGCTCAAGCCGGTGCTGGGGGCGTGCGGAATGTTGCACATATTCATTATCCCTCATGTATAGACTCAATCAAACCGAGTCTGCAGTTCTCTTGCAATTTTGTTGTGATTAATGCTTCCGAGGGATCACTTTGTTTCCAGATTTTTATACTTCACAACAGCAGGTGTCAAGTGCTGTGTGGCAGCTGTAAAAAAGTTGTCCCGTACTTCACTTCAGTGTTGTTATATTTCTCTGGTCATTCGGGATCATTGATGATAGCACTATTAAGTGTTAAGAATTGAGTACCGCTCAAGCCGGTGCTGGGGGGCGTGAGGGATGTCCCTCATGTACAGACGCAATCAAACTGAGTCTGCAGTTCTCTTGTTTTTTTGTTGTGATTAATGCTTCCGAGGGATTACTTTGTTTCCAGATTTTACAGCAAAATCATGCTTATTATCCCTCGCCGAAAGGCGGCGGGGGATATAGAAATAGTCTCCGTCCGTCCGTCCGTCTGTTCGTCCTTCCGTCCGACATTTTTGTCCGGAGCATATCTCAAAAAATATTTGAGGTATCATCTTGAAACTTCATAGGTGGATAGATCTCATTGAGGAGGAGTGCAGTGCACAAGAATGATAACTCTACCCTGCATAATTTTGAGTTATTGCCCTTTGTTATTTTTCAAACTTAATTTTTGTCCAGAGCATAACTCATAAAGCTTATGAGATATCAACATGAAACTTCATAGGTGGATAGGTCTCATTAAGAAGGAGTGCAGCACACAAGAATAACAACTCTACCCTGCATAATTTTTGAGTTATTGCCCTTTGTTATTTTTCATGCTTAATTTTTGTCCAGAGCATAACTATAAAAGCCTTTGAGATATCAACTTGAAACTTCATAGGTGGATAGATCTCATTGAGGAGGAGTGCAGCACACAAGAATGATAACTCTACCCTGCATAATTTTTCAGTTATTGCCCTTTGTTATTTTTCATGCTTAATTTTTGTCCAGAGCATAACTATAAAAGCCTTTGAGATATCAACTTGAAACTTCATAGGTGGATAGATCTCATTGAGGAGGAGTGCAGCACACAAGAAGGATAACTTACCCAGCATTATTTTTCAGTTATTGCCCTTCGTTATTTTCAGCTATCAGAATTCACATAGGTTTCAAATCTGTAATCACTTCAGCCATCAGTTTTCATTACCAAAAGAAATCTTAAAATTGAATTATTCTGCTCTACTACATATATATTCTTCCAATGAGCAAACACATTCGGCGAGGAATGGCCATGTTGACATGGCTCTTGTTAAATTGGTAACACATTCTTGATAGATTATTAGATCTTACAAGATACCTCTAATTATATCACTCTTTCAAAATCAACTTGTGTTTATTTACTTACGTAAATATTGTCATTCCATATAGTAATCAGTATAATCAAGGGGTCAGATTTTCTCTCGAATTCGCATCAACTAAAAATAGTAGGTGGGGTACGATTTAAACAGTAATTCATTAAATGACCAGAAGCAAATGATCATAATCCTTGTTAATTATGTAAATATGTTACATAGACTGCACCAAAGAAGCTATAATTTGACAGAAACACAAAATAGGGGGACATAATTGAAAGAACATGTACGAGTTACCTTGCATTGTACATTTATTTTTATGTAGCGCCTCTCATTTTATATGTCTTACTGCTTAATAACAAACAAACATTTCTTCAGATACGATAAGAAACGTTAAAGCATTACTCTCAGGAGTACAGTACAATAGTGGAATAACAAAATAAGTAATAAATATTTATCTGTTTAAGCATAGACAAGAGTATCAAAGCAAGAACCAATATGTTTAGCATTATTTTGCATATTTATGTATAAAAAAGCAAAACAGCAATCTCTTTTCTCCAATAACGTTAAGCCTCTTCGTATAAAACGCTTTAAATGACATCTTCCGTGCAAAATTTCACTTGAAATACAAAAGTGGAAACAAATATGAGCCAACATTAATATTCTAGAATATTTAG